TTGAGACTGAATATTAGTTCATCGAGGGGCGTCTAATTTTAGCATCGCTTGGAGATCCACTTATACTCCTGAGCTTTACTGCCACAGTCGTCTTGGTCATAAGAGAACCAGTGTCTGAAACACATCAGGGGTGTTTACGTGCGTCTAATAATCGCACACCGATTACACTTATTAAACGACTGCACATAAGGTCATGTAAACATAAACGCTGTGAACTGTGCTCTTATCAGGCAAATGTGGACACACCTAGAGTTTTGCCTGTGTCTGTGGTTTCCTTTTGCATGTAAACAACTTTAATATCCCTACAGGAGCTTATTCACTACACCTCAACTATGAAACGCAAGCAGTTTTTATGCATTAATTGTTTTTCAAACCTTTATACGCAATGAATATTGTCACTTCAGACCCTCTTCAAATGTTAAACGCCCTGTTTTCCACCATATACACACACACACCCATGTGTTTTGAAAGTGTGAATCTTTGTTTTGGCTGCTGTTCCCCTTCCTGGCTTCATGTTGATGCTTGTTTGATCCATGAGGATTATATCTCTTTAGTTGATAATTGTCTCTCTCTTTCTCAGGTGCACATTTCGGTTCCCCAGTACGAACATCAAAATCACGTTCACGGCACTGGCGAGCGTCAAGCGCGAGAAGAGGGAACCGGAGTCTCCTGTGAAAGTGGTTCAGCCACAGATCTCCCCTTTAACCATCAACATTCCCGATAACATCGCTCACCTCATGAGCCCCTTGCCCTCGCCCACCGGCACCATCAGGTACTCACTCACACTCACTCACTTTCACTCGCTCACTCTCGTTCACACACACTCTCTCGCTCGCTCACTCTCACTTGCTCACTTTCACTCGCTCACTCTCACTCACTCGGTCACTCTATCGCTCGCTCACTCTCGGCCGCTCTTTTACTCGCTCACTCTCACTCACTCGGTCACTCTATCACTCACACTCTCTCTCTCGCTCACTCTCGGCCGCTCGCTCACTCACACTCTCACTCGCTCACTCTCACTCACTCGGTCACTCTATCGCTCACACAAACTCACACTCTTTCGCTCGCTCACTCTCGGCCGCTCGCTCACTCACACTCTCACTTGCTCACTTTCACTCGCTAACTCACTCACTCTCGTCACTCTCTCGCTCACACACACTCACGCTCGCTCACTCTTGGTCACTCTCTCACTTACGCTTACTCTCTCTCGCTCGCTCACTCTCACTTTCACTCGCTCGCTCACTCTCGCTCACTTTCACTTGCTCACTCTCGGTGACTCTCTCGCTCACACACACTCACACTCGCTCTCTCTCTCTCACTCACACTCGCTCTCTCTCTCTCACTCACTCTCGCTCACTCTCACTTGCTCACTTTCACTCGGTCACTCGCTCTCACTTGCTCACTTTCACTCGCTCACTCTCGGTCACTCTCTCGCTTACACTCCCTCACACTCACTTGCTCGCTCACTCTCTCACTCTCACTTTCACTCACTCGCCCACTCACTCTCGGTCGCTCGCTCACACTCTCACTTGCTCACTTTCACTCGCTCACTCTTTCGCTTACACTCTCTTGCTCGCTCTCTCACTTTCACTCGGTCACTCGCTCACACACTCACTCACACTCTCACTCGCTCACTCTCACTCTCATTCACTCACTTTTGCTCGCTCGCTCTCACTCTCACTCGCTCGCTCACTCACACTCTCGCTTGCTCACTCTCACTCGCTCGCTCACTCACACTCACTCACTCACTCTCTTGCTCACACTCACTCGCTCGCTCTCGCTCACACTCACTCACTCTCACTCGCTCGCTCACACTCACGCTCACTCTCAGTCACTCACTCTCACTCGCTCGCTCACACTCACTCTCGCACACTCGCTCTCATTCACACTCACTCACTTTCACTCGCTCACTCTCTCTCACTCTCCGTCACTCTCGTTCACACACACTCTCTCGCTCGCTCACTCTCGCTCGCTCACTCTCACTTGCTCACTTTCACTCGCTCACTCTCACTCACTCGGTCACTCTATCGCTCGCTCACTCTCACTCACTCGGTCACTCTATCGCTCGCTCACTCTCGGCCGCTCTTTTACTCGCTCACTCTCACTCACTCGGTCACTCTATCACTCACACTCTCTCTCTCGCTCACTCTCGGCCGCTCGCTCACTCACACTCTCACTCGCTCACTCTCACTCACTCGGTCACTCTATCGTTCACACAAACTCACACTCTTTCGCTCGCTCACTCTCGGCCGCTCGCTCACTCACACTCTCACTTGCTCACTTTCACTCGCTAACTCACTCACTCTCGGTCACTCTCTCGCTCACACACACTCATGCTCGCTCACTCTTGGTCACTCTCTCACTTACGCTTACTCTCTCTCGCTCGCTCACTCTCACTTTCTCACTTTCACTCGCTCGCTCACTCTCGCTCACTTTCACTTGCTCACTCTCGGTGACTCTCTCGCTCACACACACTCACACTCGCTCTCTTTCTCTCACTCACTCTCGCTCACTCTCACTTGCTCACTTTCACTCGGTCACTCGCTCTCACTTGCTCACTTTCACTCGCTCACTCTCGGTCACTCTCTCGCTTACACTCCCTCACACTCACTTGCTCGCTCACTCTCTCACTCTCACTTTCACTCACTCGCCCACTCACTCTCGGTCGCTCGCTCACACTCTCACTTGCTCACTTTCACTCGCTCACTCTTTCGCTTACACTCTCTTGCTCGCTCTCTCACTTTCACTCGGTCACTCGCTCACACACTCACTCACACTCTCACTCGCTCACTCTCACTCTCATTCACTCACTTTTGCTCGCTCGCTCTCACTCTCACTCGCTCGCTCACTCACACTCTCGCTTGCTCACTCTCACTCGCTCGCTCACTCACACTCACTCACTCACTCTCTGCTCACACTCACTCGCTCGCTCTCGCTCACACTCACTCACTCTCACTCGCTCGCTCACACTCACGCTCACTCTCAGTCACTCACTCTCACTCGCTCGCTCACACTCACTCTCGCACACTCGCTCTCATTCACACTCACTCACTTTCACTCGCTCACTCTCTCTCACTCTCCGTCACTCTCGTTCACACACACTCTCTCGCTCGCTCACTCTCGCTCGCTCACTCTCACTTGCTCACTTTCACTCGCTCACTCTCACTCACTCGGTCACTCTATCGCTCGCTCACTCTCACTCACTCGGTCACTCTATCGCTCGCTCACTCTCGGCCGCTCTTTTACTCGCTCACTCTCACTCACTCGGTCACTCTATCACTCACACTCTCTCTCTCGCTCACTCTCGGCCGCTCGCTCACTCACACTCTCACTCGCTCACTCTCACTCACTCGGTCACTCTATCGTTCACACAAACTCACACTCTTTCGCTCGCTCACTCTCGGCCGCTCGCTCACTCACACTCTCACTTGCTCACTTTCACTCGCTAACTCACTCACTCTCGGTCACTCTCTCGCTCACACACACTCATGCTCGCTCACTCTTGGTCACTCTCTCACTTACGCTTACTCTCTCTCGCTCGCTCACTCTCACTTTCTCACTTTCACTCGCTCGCTCACTCTCGCTCACTTTCACTTGCTCACTCTCGGTGACTCTCTCGCTCACACACACTCACACTCGCTCTCTTTCTCTCACTCACTCTCGCTCACTCTCACTTGCTCACTTTCACTCGGTCACTCGCTCTCACTTGCTCACTTTCACTCGCTCACTCTCGGTCACTCTCTCGCTTACACTCCCTCACACTCACTTGCTCGCTCACTCTCTCACTCTCACTTTCACTCACTCGCCCACTCACTCTCGGTCGCTCGCTCACACTCTCACTTGCTCACTTTCACTCGCTCACTCTTTCGCTTACACTCTCTTGCTCGCTCTCTCACTTTCACTCGGTCACTCGCTCACACACTCACTCACACTCTCACTCGCTCACTCTCACTCTCATTCACTCACTTTTGCTCGCTCGCTCTCACTCTCACTCGCTCGCTCACTCACACTCTCGCTTGCTCACTCTCACTCGCTCGCTCACTCACACTCACTCACTCACTCTCTTGCTCACACTCACTCGCTCGCTCTCGCTCACACTCACTCACTCTCACTCGCTCGCTCACACTCACGCTCACTCTCAGTCACTCACTCTCACTCGCTCGCTCACACTCACTCTCGCACACTCGCTCTCATTCACACTCACTCGGGTTGAAAAGTTAAATGTGTTTCTGTGAAGCTTCAAGGCGAGTTGAAACTGAAGCGCTGATGTTGGTGGTGTTTGAGTGTCTGCGCTCGATTGTGTGTCTGCAGCTGTGTGTCCTTTATGGAGTGATTTGATTGAGTTTGGCTCCCACGTTAATGAGGCAGTTTCCTGTTCTGGAAAACCTCCTCCTTCCATCTGTTTGCATCGGCCCGTTTCACTAGATGACTTTGGGAGTGTATGGTAATGTATTCTGTGTGTGTGTGTCCCTCAGCGCTGCTAACTCGTGCCCGTCCAGTCCGCGGGGCGCGGGGTCCTCCGGCTACAGGCTGGGCCGAATCGTGCCGGACCTGCAGCTCATGAACGACAACTCTCAGTCCGAGAACGACAAGGAGGCGTCAGAAGGAGACAGCCCGAAGGTGCCCAACCTCACGAGGAGCGACACTACCGGACTCAAGTTTGGGGAACGGTTTAAACAAGTCTCTTATGCTCAACAAGGCTGCATTCATTTGTATGAGAATTTTTATGGGAACAGAAAAAATTGGAGAAATTACTGTTTGAAATAAGTGTTTTCTATTATAATATTATGTTAAAATGTATTTTATTCCTTCAGTGTCGCATGATCCTTCAGAAATCACTCTAATATGATGATCTGATGCTCAAGAAACATTTATGATTATTATCAGTGTTGGAAATGGTTGTGCTGATTCTAGTTTTGTGAAAAGTTTAGGGTTGGTGAGATTTAAAAATAATAATAATTGATTAATACTCTAATTCAGCAAGGATGCATTAAATCAAGTGACATTACAAACTTTTAATGTTTCAAATGTTTTCTATTTCAAATAAATGCTGTTCTTTTATATCTGTTCAGCCAATAATTCTGAAAGAAAGGTATCAAGGTTTCAAGAAAAATATTAATCGGCAAAACTTTTTTTTTCAACACTGATAATAATCATAAATGTATCATTATGATCATCAGATCATAATGATTTCTGAACGATCATGTGGAAAATACAGCTTTGATCGCAGGAATAAATTACATTTTAGATTTAAAATATATTATATAAAATATATTTGAATAAATTTGGGGGGGGGGGGGGTGGTAAAAGTACACAACCGTGCCGTCACACGTGCTGCTACTGTAGCGGAGCGGGCATGTAATTTTTTTATTATTAGACATCAAATAGAATGTATAATAATTCAAATCATGTATTATTATTTTTTTTAAAAATATATAGATATATGATATATGTTTTTGCTGGTAATAAAAGCCATAAAACACTAATTTTATCATAAACTTTTTGTCAAATAATGTGCTGCACAATGAACTTTAACGTTAAAATTAAAAAAAAATGGATTATTCCTTAAATTCAGTTTTGTTTTAAAAAATTCATAATTTATTCGTATTAGTGTTAATGTATTATTACATCTGGACATTTCCTATTTCTAATGTACAACAGTAATATATTTCTGTCAAATTAAACCGAACTTTTATTTTGACGGGTTGCCGTGAAGCTCTTTGGAGTTTCTGTGTGTTTGTCATGATAAATAGTTTCACAAATGAAGCGGTTAAATGATCACGAAGTGACTTTCAGAGTGGATCTAGAGCCTGGAGAGGAAGTTCAATAATTTCTGTCTTCATATAGGCAAAAAAAACAGCGCAAGCGTCACACGTGTGTCTTCAGTGTATGTGTGTGTGTGCGGTAAATAAATCGGCAAAGCCGTTGAAAAACATATTCATATTTAACGGCTCTGGGCTGCACTATTCATTCACACGGAACATACGATTCATACAAACAGGATTCGTATTTAAATAGTATTTGTGGTTTAATATTCACACATACTAGTCTATATCGCGATTTTTATTTCAAGTGTACTGAACCGCTTTCTATTTATTCCTCAAATATACAGTAAAATCCTTTTTTTATGACTGGATTTCGTCAGCATTTTAGGGGGGATGGGGGGGGGGCCCTAAAACAATGGTAGGGGAAACACTGTTAATATTTCACAGTATTACAGTTTTTACTGTAGTTTTGATCAAATAAATGCTGCCCTGCTAAGCATAAAAGGCTTGATTAAAAACAAATCATAAGTATTCCCAACTTTTGACGGGTAGTGTATAATAGTGTATAAACGACTCTGAACGAGCTGAAGTTCGTGGTCAAATCTCTCTCTCTCTCTCTCTCTCTCCAGGACGACTCCAAGCCCCCGTACTCGTACGCTCAGTTGATCGTGCAGGCGATCACGATGGCGCAGGACAAGCAGTTAACACTAAACGGCATCTACACACACATCACCAAGAACTACCCGTACTACAGGACGGCAGACAAGGGCTGGCAGGTCAGTAACACACACACCAGATCAACCAGAGATGAGGCTGTTCACAGGGTTAGTCAATCATCCACAATATCTGGCAAACATAAAGCATTTCAGGCGCTCCACGAGTTCTGAAGTTTGTCGCATTTTTAAGGTGATGCTCTCTCTTACTCTCTGTGTGTGTTATATACAGTCAAACCAAAAACACCAGATATCATTTTTGATATTTAACTAGTGGTTACATTCCTCATTCCTACAGTGACCACCAGTGAAATTCATATAAATTTGAGACCAAATATTATTCAGACACTTCGATCTGGCTGTGTTTTGCTGAAGTGTTTTGTTTTTTAACTGCTAATGTGACGTTTTTACACACAGACTGAACAATAATAATCATCGCTTGAGCTGAACGTGTATTATCTAATTGTGTAGTCTGACAGATATTCAACACAATTCATATTCATATTCAACACAATTCAATTCTTGTCATATTTTATTACCATTTCCTAAACTATAGCGAATAAACCGATAATGTGAGAAATATTGAAGGTGTCTGAATCATATTGGATTAGGGATGCACCGATATGAACATTTTGGCCGATACCGATAATTCTTTATATTTGAAAGCCGATAACCGATATATCGGCTGATAAATCTAAATCCAATTTTTATATAATTTTTGAGAGCCTGATTGCAAAAACTAAAGTCTCACAATTAAAATCTGTCCCCTAACACAATTATAATGTTCTCATTATAATTTCATGAAGCCGATATGACAGCTCATTTTGCACTATATTTTCCTTTTTGATTCCGATCATATTTCAAGCAATTAAGATCAATCATATTGAACAGTGCGCATCTTAAGTGTCAAGTGTTGAAGGAAATAATAAATTATTTATCAGCTTTAATATATCAGCCAAATTTTATTAATCGGGCCGATAACGATAACATAAAAATGAGCAAATATCGGCCGATACCGATATGGTGGCCGATATATCGTACACCCCTAATATTGGATGAAGACTTCAGTTGACGGTGTGAATAATGTCTCTGTTTCAGAACTCGATTCGTCACAACCTGTCCCTGAATCGGTACTTCATCAAAGTCCCGCGCTCGCAGGAGGAGCCGGGCAAGGGTTCGTTCTGGAGGATCGACCCGTCGTCCGAGGGCAAGCTGGTGGAGCAGGCCTTCAGGAAACGCAGGCCGCGGGGCGTCCCCTGCTTCAGGACCCCGCTGGGACCCCTCTCGTCCAGGTCTACACCAGCCTTCGTCACATGACACTCACACTAGAGCCCGACCGATAAAGGATTTTGAAGCCTGATACCGATACAAATATTTGTTGGTTTTAAAATCTGATATTCCGATATATCGTCCGATATATATATATATTTTTTTTTCAGAAACGCGCAACAAAACATTAACAGATTTCCCTAACATTAGTTATTTGTAGTTATGAAAGAGTTTTAACTAAACTAATATGATAATGCATTTTACAAAGAAAATTGTTTCTTTTATTTTCACAACAGGACAGATGAACCAAAGCTCATTAATGTTAATGTTAGCAGTCTTCCTCTGATTATAGTGGCATTAGCTAGCTTTGTGGTTAGCTATAGTCTATGATGAGCCATAATTTAGCGATGGATAACATCATACTACAAATTGTAAAATATACAATATGTTTTCAATATAACAGGCCAAGGAGAGATGATATGTCTCATTGCTATAACTTTCATGTGCTATTAAATAAATACTTAAGTCACATTGTCAAAAGTTAAAAGGACAGTCAGTCAACTACACAGTAACAACGTTTTTTTATTTTATTTTTGAAATATTCATTTATCAGCCATTATAACTGCCGATACCGATAGTTTGGAAATGCCGAATATCGGCCGATATATCGGTCTGGCTCTAACTCACACAACTCGAACATTTATTTACAGAGCACAAGTTTAACACATTTCTGCTTATAAAAATGTCACTAACTCTTTATTTTTGTCATAAGCGCTAGTTATGATTATCTTAAATGTTGCATTGAACACTGTTTAAGAAGTTGGGGTCTTGAAAGAAGACTTATGATGATATTGTGAAATATTATTAAAATTTTAAATATCAGTTTTCTATGTGAATATATATCGAAGTGTAATTTATTCCTTTGATCAGAGCTGAATTTCCAGCATCATTACTGCAGTCTTCAGTGTCACATGACCCTTCAGAAATCTGATGATCAAGAAATATTTATGATTATTATTATCAGTGTTGAACACAGTTGTGCTGATTAATATATATTTTTAGGATTCTTTGATTAATAGGAAGTTTGAAAGAACAGCATTTATTTGAAATCACTTTTGTTAAAGTATTAGTTACTTTTAAGTCCGAAAATCTTGCTGGCCCAATCTTGTGTGGGGTAGTGTGTGTGTGTGTGTGTGAGATGTGTTCTGATGTGTTTGTGTTTGTTTGACAGGAGCGCCCCGGCGTCGCCCAATCACGCGGGCGTTCTCTCCGCTCACTCCAGCGGTGTCCAGACTCCCGACAGCCTATCACGCGAAGGCTCACCGGTTCCCATGGAGCCCGAGCCCGCCTCGGCTCCTCCCCCTTCTGCTGCTGCTGCTGCTCAACCCAAACTAGCTGTGATTCAGGAGGCCCGTTTTTCCCAGAACACCCCAGGTACTCCGTCACAGATGAACAAACATTCACTTGGGCTCAGATTCATGATCTTAAGCTTTCATTTCTTGACATTAGAATTTTTTTTTTTTTTTGTTTCAAAGCATTAACAGTGGTTTAACATTTGTGTATATATATATATATAGTATATTGTATGTGTGTGTGTGTGTATATACTTTTAAAAATATATATATTTTACAACTGCTGTTAATGCTTTGAAACCTATTTATATATATATTTCTTTTTCATAGTAAGTATATTATTTTTTATCATTAGTATTTGTATTGGTCTGATTTAGATGATTTTGTAATATTATAGACTACCCTTTTTTATGTTTTCAGTCAGAATCTGTGCATCAATATTGTTTAGTAGTCTATAATTACACTATAAACTTATTAGTTTGTTTGTTTTATTCTGAGCCTTAAATAATAAACTATTTGTTTTCATATTAATAAATAATAGCACAGTTTTCTTCTGTATCAGTCAGAATCTGCATCAATGTTTATTAGTTCGACAGTGACTTCTAATTATTTGTTTGTTGTTGTTTTATTAGCTTTAACATAAATAATAAACACGGTTTTCATATGAATTTCTAATAATAAACTTGCAGTTTTCATCCTGTGCATCACTATTGTTTTAGTTTGCAGTAAAATTGTAGACTACTAATAAATTGTTTGTTTGTTTGTTTGTTTTTGAGCCTCAAAATAATAAACAGTTTGTTTTCATAATAATAATAAAAACTAATAAACAGTTTTCATCTGTATCAGTCAGAATCTGTGCATCGATATTGTTTAGTTTACAGTGAAATTGTAGACAACTAATTATGTTTGTTTGTCTTAACATAAATCACCACTTTATTTTCATATAAATAATACAAATAAATATGAAACGTGCAGTTTTTATCTGTATCTATCAGAATCATTGTATATTAGATTAAAGTACAATTGTGGACTTCCCTTTGTCTTTCGTCTTTGTCAAACATAACCTCTTACTGGTACCAGTCAGGATCTGCATCAGTAGCATATATCAGTTGACATAAGATCCCTAAGTGTCTCTCTCGCTTTCTCTCAGTGTCTCCCATGAACACCCAGCCGGTCCTGATCGCGGTCCAGCGCCCGATGACCCAGTCGATGAAGCCGGTGACGTACGCGCTGGCCACCCCCGTCACGTCCTCCACGTGTGCGCAGCCGCTGATGCAAACAGTGCACGTGGTCCACCAGATCCCTGCGATGACCGTCAGTGCCCTGGGCGGAGCCAACCTGCAGAACGCCATCAAGACAGAGCCGGTGGAGAACGGGGAGTACGAGGAGGTCAAAGGTGACGAGCTCGGGTCAAGGAACGTGAACTGGTTTTCATTTCTTCAGATAACGTTAGTAACAAACATGTGTTCTGTCTCTCTTTAGTCAAGGTAGAGTCTGTTCCAGGCATCACTCACGCCTCTATAGGCTCAGCCAATAGGATCATTCAGAGCAGCGCTGGAGCCACGCCCCTTCAAACGGTTACCATAGTGCAACAAGCCCCATTGGGTCAGCATCAACTGCCAATCAAAGCCATCACCCAAAATGGCACTCATGTAATGCCTATTGCCACGGCAATACAGAGCCAGGCTAACTCAGGTAAACGTTGAACACAGTATATGCGACATTAATGCGATTAAATATTTTAATCGTTTGACAGCACTTATATATATTTATATATATATGGTCACCTGGTACAAATAGGAGCTCTCCGATAATTCCCAGCTTACAAGTTGTAATTACGAGCTCTATGAGGATGTGAACACTTAAGTTGAAATATTGTAGTTAGCTACGTTCAAACCGGACGCGAATAGCGCGTCAAATTCGCGTCTACTGCGTCTAGTTTGACGCTTGACCACTTTGTGTTAATTCGCGCGTCAAGAGCGAAACTGACGCAGGTAAAATGAAAAGTTTGAAGCGAAAATTACGCGCATCTCGCGCGTCAAAACCAAAACCCGTTGACGGCCATCTTTGTTTATGTTGATCGAGCATTTATCGAGAGATTCACCGGCTTGGGGATCATCGTCGCCGTATTTGTGTCCACCGGACCCTTCGGAGGCGAACCGTTTGGCTAGTTGATGACGGCCGCTGTCAGCAGTACCTCCGCCTGTCCCGCGCTCAGTTTGATGACCTGTTGCCCTGTTTCCCTCGCCCTCATCCACCTAATCTAGTTGTCTTTTTTTTTTTTTTTTTTTTTTTGATGATGATAAATAGAGCCAGCTTCCAAAAGTTATTAACCTGTCCTGTGATTTTTTTTTTTTTTTTTTTTATTTGTTTTCTCTCCCTCACGTCCAGACAGGAACTTATGCACATATGTTGGTTGTCTTTACATCACAATACTATTTCATATAATCTAGATATGGAACGAATAACATTCAATACAAAATGAGCATGTCTCGTATATAGAAATAATGTTTTAAGTGATAAAATATTTGCTTTATTGTGCATTAGAACCACATCATATTACAAAATAATTCATTGAAGCATTCACCACGTGAGCAAGCAGCTAGGCTCCTGATTGGTTAACGACGCGCGAATTCACACCAAACTTCATATTTTTTTAACTCGGGCGGCAGACGCGAATTCACGTCAAACGCGTGAATGCACAAATGGCACATTTGCGCGTAACTCGCCAGACGCTCAATTCGCGCGAACTTGACGTATTCGCGTCTTCCGCGCCGCGCTCCACACCTCATTCGCGGCACAAAATTTTTTACGCGCGTAACGCGTCTTTACATTGACTTAGCATTGAAATCATTCGCGCTATTCGCAGCAAAGTAGAAGTGTGTTCATTTGTTTTATCCTAACTGCATGATTATATTCATTAATTTAATGCACTTTAAGACTTATGTTAAATGTCTCTTTCTGTCCGTCTCCAGTGTCGAGTCCGTTACACATGTTGGCCGCTCACGCCTCGGCGTCCGCCTCTCTCCCCACGAAGAGGCAGAACGGTGAAAACGCAAGCGAGCCGCCGGAGAGCAAACGATTGAAAACCGAGGACGAAGAACAGAACATCACCTCTGACGCGGACACGGACTCCACCAAGCAGCACGGCGGCCACAACTAGTCACCCATTAAACACCACCACTTTCCCTCCTTCTGTTTTTCCTTTATTTTTCCTTTTCCCTCTCATCACGGTTTCTCTTCCATCCAGCTCATGGTGCCAAAACTGAAGGCTTTCAGGCTGGACAACCGCTGTTAACCTTTTCAAGTGAAGCAAAAATCAAATTCAAACGTCAAAAAAAAGAAAAGAAAAACCAAACGCATAAAATAGCGTCCGTCACTGTTGTAATATGTTGATGTTTTTGGTTTTCCGTTATATGACTCGAGCCTGATTGAACAAGAACTCGCACCCCGAAACACAAGAGCAACTGCCATCTGGTCCGTAACTGGGCATTTTATTACAGACTTTCACAGACCCTGCAGATGTCGTCCGATCGGAGGCGTTTGATTCTCCTCTTGGGAGTCACGGTCATATTTAGCATCTCGCGGCCAAAATTGGAATCATCTTTAAAAAAAAAAAAAGAAAGAATGCACTCTCTCCCGGATGTTTTGCGACGTGCGATGCCCTCCGGATGTGCAGATGTTGGTCCCCTCTGGGCCGTCGGAACCCGAAAGATTCTAGAACCTCCGGAACCCTTGTGTTGTTCACAGTAGACTGAGAATTCCAGAACTCTGGATCTCTGACAGCGGAACACGGGCTTCCATCCAACATTCCAAAGTTTGCCATTCCGATTGTGGAAGGCCAAGAGGATGTCCTGGAATGGAATTACACACCATGAACCACAAATAGGTTGTTGTTTTTGTTCTTTTTTTTTTATATAGTGCGTTCTAGGGCTGTATGTGGAGACTGTCTTCAGCCAAAGGGATCAAAATATTCCGAAACACATCACATATTCCTAAACTTTCGGCAGCTAGCCTGACAGGATCCCCCCCCCCCCACAATCCCCTGCAGTTGTCGTAGTGGATAATATGCAGTATTTTGTCGTTCATACGTGGAGCGTAGGATCTGGGTGTGTTTTCATTTCTAGAGACGTTTTAAAAAGTAATAATAACAATAACTATATATATATATAAGCAGCAGCATACGAGCGGAAGAGGACGTGGGACGCCTCGTCTCTTTTCTGCTCTGCGAAACTAAGCGTAGTTTCTTTTCTAAGATGGAGAAAAGTGTATTAATGGAGTATTTCCTTCCTATGTTTTTCCTTTGTTTCTTTTTTAAATCTGAGCAAAACCGGCTTTGTTACTCTGACATATTTTCATACATGCGGACGTGTCATTTCCATGTGTAGTCGAACTGTTCTCATCCAGCTTGCATGTACCGGACTAGACAAACATACCTGATCCGGCGGTTTAAACGTAATCCAGAAGAAGAATTAAAAAACATAAGAATCGGACCAGATCTGCACTTGATTAGACTCCTTTTGTTTTCTTTGTTTTGTTCCCTTTTGTTTTTAGGCTGTATTGGTGTAGGCCGATTGTGTCTGCTTTAATGATTTGATTCTGGTCAGGCCCACGAGTCTGACTGATTATATATGTTTCAAACAAAAGCAAAAAAAAAAAATATGATTGATGTTTGTTCTGCTTCAGTGGGTCAATGCTTTTTTTTTTATAAATTAATTTAAAACCTTACGCTGATGATGTTCTTGTCTTTTCTTTGATTAAATTAGACGTATTATATATATTGGGGATTTCCAAAGTTTGGGACAATTTTTTATGTTTTATGCTCTCAATGCGGCATTTATTTGATCAAATACAGTGAGATATTCATAATTACATTTGGACATTTCAAATAGTTTTCTATTGCAATATATTTTAAAATGTAATTTGTTCCCGTGATCAAAGCTGAATTTTCAGCGTCATTCAATGTCACATGATATATTCAGAAATATTCTTTTATGATGATTTGATCTAGAAACATTTCTGATTATTATCAGTGTTGAAAACTTTGAACGGTTGTGCTGATTATTATGCATTTTGTTCATTTTAGGGCAAGATTTGTCTCGTTTGTTGCACCACATACACTTACATTCGTGAAGTTGAATGATGCAAATTAAGATCACTAACACTAATCGAAAAACTAGTTCAAATATTGAATTGTTGTAGTTGTGGTTTTTAAAAGCAATATAGTTTGCTCAACAATACTTTGCAAAATGAAATATAAGCAAGTGTAGGTGAACTTAAAGTCCCGAAAAAATGGTCGACTTCTCACTAAGATATTCAATAATCAATTTTCAGATTTCTCAGAGATGAAGCCAGCTGAAGACATATGGTAATTTCTCAGATTGCCACTGTGTGGCGCTGGTGTGTAAGCGTTCATAGGCTGTGTGTGTGGCAGCAGAACTCAAATGGCTTTTGATATTGTGTGTGAAAAGGTGCATTTCAAGTCCTGTCGTCCTACAGATGATCTTAACCTGCTGTATTGATAATCTGGTCTAGATTTTTTTTTTTTATATACACCAAAAATAGTTTAACCTTCTTTTCATAAGGTGAATCTCCTGAGAATACAGATCTCTTAAGAACACTATTAAAGATGATTTGATTGACCTGTTCGACCCTGAGGGACTCGTCCTCTCTTTGTTGAGTTTTGACCTCTTTAAGTGCTCAATTTGAACAACATGCAAAATGGCGTCTCGACTGTTAAGCCTGAGATTTGTTATAACGGTCGGAAGGTTTTAGTAACTTAAAATGACATTACATTCGAATATAATCGTGGTTTTGTGTTTATCTGTCCTTAGTAGATCACGATTATGTTCGTAGTGATTAAGATTTCAGTTCCGTTTTAATGAAATCTTAATGAGAGTTGAGGTGCGGCCATTTTAACCCTTGCGCGGCAAATTTTCGCGGGCAAAATCCAGTCGGGAATCTGTTCCCTGGAAAAGTTCAACGCGCGGATTTCTCTAGTGTTAAAGTTCGAGTTGTTTGGCAGAAAACTGCCTTTGAAAGTGATTTCCTTGTGAGCTGTACCTTATTCATTGCTACTCTTCTGTCAATTGGACCTTTTTGTTGTTTTTTGGGGGGCTGCGAAATTCGGTAAGATCGTCACCCGTGCTGCTTTTAGTAAAGTTAAACTTTGCTTAAGCTGTTTATCAGGATTGATAGGCTACTTGATTTGAGTTTTTATGCAGTTTAGGCTGAAACGTTCTTGATTTTCCTCATGGTAGCCTCAGACAGCATGAAAAGGCAGCAGAAGATCACAGGTAAACGCTATCGGATAGAGCGCGAGACTGTGGGAGGTAAATTAAGGCTGATGAACACATCTCACTGTTACACAGGCGTGGGAGGAGTTGCCATGGCGACCGGGAGTTGAGTGATGCTGCTGATGGAAGGAGACTGTGTGTGTGTGTGTCTGTGTGTGTCAGACGTCTGAAAGTTAATGACAAACATCACATCTGATGCAGACATTACTGGACGTCTCAAGCCAAAGATACCCAGCAAGGTATCAAGTTTTATCCATGAACACACTTTTGCTTTGTGATGTTTTGCTCTGCAGTTGTAAAAGAGGAACTTTTAAGTATGAATTATGATATATTTGTAAGCTTTTGGAATAACACTCTTTAACATGCTTTTATTTATGCAGACTTCCAGTGGCCTGGGGAAGAGAAGACCTATAGGCTATTTGTCAAAATGAGCAAGTATACAACAGAGTAGCTTATGCTACGTATCCCACAATGCTGTATGTTTGACTTGAAAAGTGCTCGTATTTGGTAAAAGGGTGAATTAATACTTACTTGGTACAAAAAAGTGCACTTAAATGAAATCCAAATCCAAAAAGCAGGGAAACAAAGATATAAAATTCATTACATTGCGATTCATTATAGGTTCATGATTATTTTATTGTTTTGAAATACTGAGAATATGAGTTTATGCAACCTACAACTACTATAGCCAACTTTACATATCGTTTTATCACAGCTTTATTTGCTGGATTTATATAACATATTATATAAAATTTAAACTACTTGATCATTTCAATTGTTGCTAATGTAAATATTATCGCACTGCCCTATATTTGGATAGATGCATCCAATTTTACACACACACATACAGTATTGCCCACTGAAATAAAGCTTTACTATATATGAAGAGTTCAGATGCAAAAGCCTCTAAATGCCATTTGAAATTTTCTTCTTTAATGATGATTTTTATCAAACTTATATATTTAAGTTCAGTAATTTCACTTAAATAACAATTAATAGGTAATTATCATTGCAATTTAAGTGAAATTACTGAACTTAAATATACAAGCTTGATAAAAATCATCATTAAAGAAGAAAATTTCAAATGACATTTAGAGGCTTTTGCATCTGAACTATATATATATATATATATATATATATATATATATATATAGTTAAATGATGCTATAAGGCATGAATATATTATGGTAGTGTTAACATAAGCACCGTGATTTTCTGTAACGCTGCTCTAAAACAATGTCTTATTGTGAAAATAAAATTGAGTTGATTTTTACTTTTTTAATATGTTGCATTTAGTAGTTAAATATAGTCTGATAACGATAAGCTCGTTCCAAAATCCAGACCCCTGTATAGATCATCTTGTGGTGCTTTAAGAGCTATTTTATCCTGACGCTAATCTAGATCCTCTGCTAGCCCACAACCCTCTTTCTGACCCCGACACAGAGGTCAGTAGGGGATTAGCCACAATCTGATTATCTCGGTGTTGTTTTGCTAACAATCTTCTTTGGCTATTTGGCTAAACTTTTTCAATGGTATGGGTCACTTTTTAGTTAAGTCTCCATCCCTCTAGCCGAGGTTATATATTTTTATCTTCAAAAAAGTGTTATGGTATCAGTACCGTGGACGTGGTCATACCATTTTGAGTGTGTGTGGAATGGAAATGTACCATTTTCATTATTAGGCGCTTTCAACTAAAAACGTAAACTTTGTATGCGTTTTGGTAACAACGGCGTTTTTGGGTTTCGAAGTGCAAGTTATTTAAATTGGTCTCGGTGTAAACAACAAATACTTGAATCTCTGAAGACGATAACGTCATGCACATGCGCATTACGTGTTCAGTCTATAGTGTTGCATCGCCATCTAGTGGCCTGGAGCAGAATACAGCGTTTTCAGTCGTTTTGTGGATTAGGGTGAATAGGGATCATTTTGACAATGGTGTTGTCTGTACGTGGATAACTCAAAGGAAAAACTTTCCGTTTTAAGCATATCGTTGTCGTGTAAACGCAATGTTACTCGGTAAAAAGAATCATGCTACCAAAATGGAATCAAAACTACCATATGGTACCAAAACATTTTAGTACTTGACTGTCATGGATACATGAGGTTTTCACTTTCATGAAGATTTGAAAGTGATTGTGGTATTGGAGAGTTTGGGTTTTCTAGGTCACACATCAGCGATGGACTACAAATAGAAACGTTTTTCCTTTGCATTTTTCGCGCACAGATGTCGTCAAAACGATCCCCATTGAAACGAATCACGAAAATGACTGAAAACGCTGTATTATTGATGCCAGGCTATGTCACTTTGTAAAGAAATCCCACGCTCCTATAGACTGAACATGTTATACCTGTTCATAGAGTGCCGAAGTCACTCTGTAGGCCAAAACGCGGAAGTGAGTTAGCATTTTAGCACTCCCGGTTCCCTCGCTCTAAAGTCTATAGGATTTTTGAATGTGTTTTTGCTAAATCGCCTGAAATAAGGTCTGTGGTGAACAAAGCCTCTAAATTTTTTTACATTTTGATCTATGACACAGAACACAGTTATAACCTGCTTTACTGTTTTTTTTTAACTTTATTGTGTCTGTAGTTTTTAAAAAACTTTATGTAGGCTTCAAAATGTATACCCTTTGGGGTACTTTCCTGTTATCCGGACCCCACGATGGCCTACCCCTAACCCCGGCCCTAAACCTACCCGTCACTGGGGTTAAGACCAATCAGGGATGATGGCCGACCCCTAGACCCGGCCCTAAACCTACCCGTCACTGGGGTTAAGACCAATCAGGGATGATGGCCGACCCCTAAACCTACCCGTCACTGGGGTTGAGACCAATCAGGGATGACTTTAGTTCCTAAATGGTATATGGTGGGATCCGGACCCCACGATGGCCTACCCCTAATCCCGCCCCTAAACCTACCCGTCACTGGGGTTAAGACCAATCAGGGATGATGGCCTACCCCTAACCCCGCCCCTAAACCTACCCGTCACTGGGGTTGAGACCAATCAGGGATGACTTTAGTTCCTAAATGGTATATGGTGGGATCCGGACCCCACGATGGCCTACCCCTAATCCCGCCCCTAAACCTACCCGTCACTGGGGTTAAGACCAATCAGGGATGATGGCCTACCCCTAACCCCGCCCCTAAACCTACCCGTCACTGGGGTTAAGACCAATCAGGGATGATGGCCTACCCCTAACCCCGCCCCTAAACCTACCCGTCACTGAGGTTAAGACCAATCAGGGATGATGGCCTACCCCTAACCCCGCCCCTAAACCTACCCGTCACTGGGGTTAAGACCAATCAGGGATGATGGCCTACCCCTAACCCCGCCCCTAAACCTACCCGTCACTGAGGTTAAGACCAA